ATGCAATGCGAATTACAATTTTAGATCGAAACAAGCTAGGATTCATTGCATGAACATGCTTGAAGGAAGCCTGTGGCCATAACCTATATGCTCCATGTGAAAGATGTAACACAATTGTTCTCTCATGGATCATGAACTATGTATCCAAGGAGCCCCTTAGAGGAATCGTTTACTCGACAAACATAATAGTTGTATGGAATGATATTAAGAAAAGATATGACAAAGTAGATGGATCTCGAATCTTTAAGTTGCCAAACAAATTGCTTTAACAAGTCAAGGTACAAACTCAATCTTTGTTTATTTTGCTCGTTTGAGAGATCTTTGGGTAGAATTTGACTGTGCCTGGATGCGACTGTGCTAAATCAAGAGATTTGTCCTGTTTATGGAAAATCAGGAGTTGTTACATTTCCTTATGGGTTTGAATGATACGTATGAACAATCTAGGGGTTAGATCTTTATGATGATACCTTTTCCAACCCTAAACAAAGCATATTCTATGTTAATTGAACGAGAAAGTCAAAGGTCTATCTCACAAGTCTAGAAATCAACCTGAGATGACTGCACTTGCCTCCATTAGAAGTGGTTCCATTCTTTGAATAGATTGAAGAAAACTTTTTCTCCTTATAGTTACAATCCTAATGTCGTTTGTGATCACTGCAAGCGTAAAGGTCACACAAAGGCAATATGTTTTTTTATTAGTTGGGTACCCTCATAACTTTGAGAAGAAAAGAAGGGAGAATCAGAGTAACAATCAAACATATAAGGGAAACTCTCATACTGACAAAGGTGACAATGTTCATGTGGAAGGAAGTGGTAATTTTTACATAACTCATAATGTTGCTAATAATCCAGTGAGGTATCAAAATGATGCACCTAACTTCATATAGGCTACAGTAAAGGTATATAAGTCATCCAGGAAAAATATGATCATATTTTATATATGCTTGGAAAGTCTAATCTACAAGGAACATCAAATATGACTTCTAGCTCACATGATCAAAACATGGCAGTGCTAACTCAATTCAGAGTTCTTCATCAACTAATACAATAGGTATTGCCATTAATCTCACAATAGGGGTTCATGATTGGATAGTAGATTCTGGGGCAAAAAATCATATGACCTCCAACTTAAACATGCTAGTACAAAAGAAGCCTCTCTCCCCTGGAACCCCTAATCAAGCACACCTACCTAATAATAGAAGTTAGCAAAGTTAGTTGATAGTTTCTTATAAAGTTAGTTAAGCAAGTTAGTTAGATAGTATTATATATCACATCATTTGTAAGTCACATTGTATATCAATTCAATTGAGTGACATTTTCACAATAAACTTCATCTTCTCTATTCTTGTATCTAGAAGCAGTTAACAACTCCCTAAATGAAGAAATATAAAATGGTATCAAACCATCTCGATCTCTAAATCTCGTGGAAAAAATAGCCATGAGACTGTCGATAATGAGTTTTCAGAGAAGCTTGGCCACAATCATCCTCTATTTCTTCTCTCAATCGATAATTCAAGTGCTACACTTATCTCAATTAGACTAACAGGAGTAGAAAACTTCTCGGTATGGAGTCATGCAATGCCAATTGCAATTTTAGGTCGAAACAAACTAGGATTCATTGGAAAAACATGCTTGAAGGAAGCCTATGGCCCTAACCTACCTTCTATGGGAACGATGTTACACAATTGCACTCTCATAGATCATGAACTATGTCTCCAAGGAGCTTCTTTGAGGAATTATTGACTTGACTAATACAACAGTTGTATGGAGTGATCTCAAGAAAAGATATGTCAAAGTAGATGGATCTCGAATCTTTCAGCTGCTCAATGAAATTACTTCAACAAGTCAAGGTACTTACACAATCTCTATTTAATTTGCTTACTGAGAGATCTCTAGGTATAGTTTTACATCACCCATGTGCCTGGATGCGATTGTGCTAAATCAAGAGATTTTTTCCTGTTTATGGATAATCAAAAGGTGTTAAAGTTCCTTATGGGTTTGAATGATACGTATGACTAAGCTAGGGGTCAAATCCTAATAGTGATCCCTTTGCCAACCCCATACAAAGCCTACTCTATGTTAATTGAATGAGAAAGCCAAAGCTCTATCTCCAAGCTTGGTAATCAACCTGAGATGATTGCACTTGCCTCCATTAAAACTGGTTCTAATCATTTGAATAAATTGAAGAAATTCTTTTCTCCTTATTGTTATGATTTTTTGCCACTGCAATTGCTAGAAGTTGATGTTTGGTGTCCATTTAAATTTCCTACACATTGTTAAACATGTTATTTATTACCACTGTGGATGATTGTACAAGAATGTTGTGGTTGTTTTTCATAAAACTGAATAGTGATATTTGTGTCATTTTGGGAAACTTCTTTACTGTGGTGCTTACACAGTTTTGAGTAGTGGTGAAGTCTATTAAAACAGACAATGGTACAAAATTTGTCAATGTTGAATGTCACAAGTTATGCGCTTCCTTAGGGATTATGCACCAAGAACTTGAATACATACCTCTCAGCAGAATAGTGTTGTTAAGAGAAAACACAAACATATTTTATAGGTAGCCAGGGCCATCAAATTGCAAGGACACATTCCTCTTAGATTTTAGAGACATTGTATATTAAGTGCTGCCTATATTATTAACATGTTTCCTACTCCTATTCTGAGTGGAAAATCACCTTATAAAGTCTTTCACAAGTGCAAACCTTCTCTGCAATATATTAGAGTCATTAGTTGTTCATGTTTTGCCAAAAATATTTACATCAATGATAAATTTTGGCCCAAGAGTTGTTGTTATTCATATGGAATACAGTGATCAGACTAAATGTTATGTTCTTTATGACTTGAAAGACAAACATTTTTTATCAGCAGCGATGTTATATTCAAAGAGTCTACATTTCCGTTCTCACTTCCACCATCCACTACTTGGAGACTCTTTAGTCCTCCAACAGTACCTTTGCTCTAGCTCATACATCACCACCTATTCAAAGAAGATTTCATTGGACTACTACAACACCTCTATGGATGAAAGATTATGTATCTATTGTTCAAAATGCTCCCTCCACCTCTAAGCCTTTGCACTCTATTGATCAGTACCTAGGTTATGACAAGTTGACTACCCCTTACAAGTCTTATATATCTTCTTTTGGAGTTTATATTGAACCATCCAACTTTGAAGCAACATGTAGGGATCCCAAATGGATTCAGGCAATGTAGGCTGAAGTCATTGTTTCAAAATCTAACAACACTTGTCAGATTGTTCCTTTTGCCTGCTGGTAAGACAATTATTGGTTGCAAGTGGATATTTAAAATCAAATATGAGGATAATGGGCAGGTTGAGAGGTTTAAAACCATACTAGTTGCTAAGGGGTTCATCAGAGGGAAGGGTTGGACTACCAGGAGACTTTCTCTCCTGTTGTGAAGATGGTGACAATTTAAATTGTCTTAGCCTTAGCTACAACTGATATATGACATATACATAATATGAATTTGTATAATGCTTTATTACAAGGAGATTTATATGATGAAGTATATATGACTCTTCCACAAGGTTTTCAGCTTCCACAGGGATTTAATGGGCAGAGGGATGATTAAATCCCTCTACGGATTGAAGCAAACACCTAGACAATGGAATGTAAAACTGATTGAAGCACTCAACAATCAGGATTCTTACAATGTCAGCTTGATTATTCTTTAATCACCAAAAGAGTTGGTCCTGCCATGGTGATAATCTTGGGTGTATGTTAATGATATGATCAGTGGTAATGATATCAATCTCATTACAGGAGATCACAAAAATGACTTTGCAAAATACATTCAAAATGAAGGACCTTGACAACTCAAGTATTTCCTAGGAAATATATTTGTTGGATCTTAAAAAGGTATAATGATGCACTAGAGAAAGTACACTCTTGAGATCATTTCTGAAGCTAGTCTTAGTGTTGCAAAACCAACAACTACACAACTTGATCCATATGTACAATTATCGACTAAATAGTATGATGAAGCCAATGATAGAGACAATACTGACAGCTTACTGAAGGATCCTAGTATTTACAGAAGACTGGTAGGGAACCTCTTGTACTTGACTCTTACCATACCAGACATCTCTTTTGCCTCACATACTTTAGCTCAGTTTCTACAACAACTAAAACAGTCTCATCTTAATGTTGTAGTAAGAGTTTTAAAGTATATAAAGGGACAAGCAGTGTTGTGAATTTTATCGTCCAGCACATGCAACAAACAACTTCAGGTATATTTTGACTCATATTGGACCACATGTCTCTGGGATTTCGGGCATAGATTGAGGGGGTATTTGGATATTTTTCCTAAAATGTATAAAAAGTTGTATGTTTAATTCTTACCGTCACTCACTGATAAGAAATTACATATATTTAATACTTTAAAATATAAATTAAAAAATTTAACTAAATATTTGATTTTTGAAGAATATATGGCCAAGCATGAAAGAGAAAAACATATTATTTTATGAGAATAATATTATTTCATAATAATTATCATGTAGAGTACATGTAACAACATCATAATTATAAAATGAGAAAATACATAAAAAAATTTTTTTTGAACTTGGCACGAAAACTCGCTTTAGTATTTAAATTACACGGGTGTTTATATACCCCCTTAATATGTTTGATGATCCATCCCAATTGAAGGCTGGACATTGTTACGCACACGCGTTTTTAGTGGTCCACGTCGCCTAAAGATTTAAAAGTATCTTACCCGTTCCCAAAATTCAACCCGACCCACTTATGAACAAATATCCCTAAATGTTTAAGATCCGTTTCCCAAATACAACCTGACCCACTTATAAATAAATATCCCTAAATCCCCTAATCCCGCAATTCACATTCTTTCTTTTCTCTCAAACCTAGAAGATCGAATTTGAAGATTTCTCTTCCATTACTGTGAATGAGTTGTTGATTTTAAGGTTTTCGTGAAAGAAACAAAGGATCGTGTGAAGAACAGAGTTACCAGGTTAGTAATCTTCTGTTGACCGATTTTAGGGTTTTCGAGAAGCTTAGTTTTTTTTGTCTTTTCAGTTTGACGATGGATATGTACGTTTTTTTAAGGTTTCACCATGGTGGAAAACTTCAATAAAAACCACGTATTAAGTATGAAGGAGTATGATCACTGATTGTTCAGACGTAGATGTTGATAAATTATCCTACTTCGAATTTGTTGATATTGTTAAAGAAATTGGGTATAACTGTGCTGCTAGTGTTGTTTATATTAAACCACCTAAAAGTCGACATGTTGAAGTTAAAAGTGATAGGGATATTATGGGTATTGCACCTAAATTAACAAATGAAGATATTGTTGAACTTTATGTGACTCATTTAGTTGAAGAAGATGTTGTGGCCCCACCAGCAATTGAATATCTAAATGATGTGGGTGGGGTGGATGACGTAGGTGGGAAATCTAATGCTACTTTTAATAAGGAATCTAGTCAGACTTTTCAGGATAATGAAGGACTGGGATTTGAAGAACCTGCACAACCTATTGTGGGTGAAGAGTTGAGTGAAGTGTTTGGTAGGAATTCTACTTGTGCTGGAGAGGAATTGTGTAGGGCTTCTGCTAGTGCTGGAGAGGAATTGGGTAGAACTTCTACTAGTGCTGGAGAGGAATTGGGTAGGGTTTCTGTTAGTGGCGGAGAAGACTTGGGTGGTGTACTTCTTTTGTTGCTGCTGTATCGATATTTCAGAAGTTGAGTCTGATTGGAAAAGTGAAACAGAAGAAAGTGATGATTCAGACAATGCAGATTTGCTTGATGAAGGAGAAGATGAGTATGGTAGTGATGTTCATGAGTAAGTTATAAATCTTAGGAAAGAAAAAAAGGGTTGCTAAAATAAAAAAGAGAAAAGAAAAAGGCTTTAGAAGATCTGAAGGAGTTGATTTAGGAAAAAAAGGAGTTGATTTGGAATATGATGAATATCTATCCAAAAAACAAACTACTTTAGAGGGTAAGATAGCTGAAGATGATCCCTACTTTGATTCAGATGAAGATGTTAGTTTTGAAATAGATATTGATGATGATGTTAATGAGGAAGATGAGGTTGAACTGCCTATAAGAAGACAAAGAAAAGCAAGAAGAGCAAAAAGAAATAAAAAGAAAATTGTATTTGATCCTACCTATCACTTAATAGTTTGGGAGACTGGTCTTGCTTTTGAAAGTGTTAAGCAATTTAGAGAAGCTATTACTAGATATGCAGTTCAAGAAAATTTTGAATTAGATAAATATGTTAATGATGAAACTAGGGTGAAGATAAAGTGTACAACTGGTTGTCCATGGTTGTTGTTTGGAAGTATTGATGCAAGATCAAGAGATTTTGTGGTGAAGAATTACAATCCAGCACATAAATGCAACGCCACAAGCAGAAATAAATTGGTGCATTCAAAGTACTTAGCAGAAAGGTACAAGGACAAAATTATTTCTGAGCCTAGTATTAGTGTTTTTCAGTTTCAAATTTTAGTGAAGAAAGAATTGAATGTGTATGTGGGGAGGATTTTAGCAAGGAAAGCAAAAAACTATGTGTTGCAACAAATTATGGGTGATCATGTGTTTAATAAAATTTTAGATTATAGAGATAAGCTTTTAAGGACTAATCCAGGCAGCACATGTGTGGTGAGATTAGTGAAGAAACTTTTAAAGGTGGCACAAAAATGTTTCAGTCATTTTACATATATTTTGATGCTTTAAAGAAAGCATTCAAAGCTGGAGCTAGGAGATTATAGGATTTGATGATTGCTTGAAAGGTGTTTCTAGAGGTCAATTACTTGTGGCTGTTTGTAAGGATGGGAATAACCAAATGCTACCACTAGCATGACAGTTGTTGAGGTGGAAAACACATTTACTTGGAAATGGTTTATCAAGATTGTAAAACATGATCTTGAGCTAGGAGATGGTACAGAATTGACAACCATTACTGATATGTCGAAGGTTTTTTTTAATTTCCTTCTCATTTATTCATTTATTTTCTTTTCCATTTATTTGTCCATTTTCTTTTTCATTTATTTTCTCATGATATTCTAAATGTTGTTAAACGGTCTTGACAAAGCTATTCAGGAACTTCTGTCAAATGCAGAACAAAGAATGTGTGCAAGACATGTTCTAGCCAACTGGTCTATCATTTGGAAAGGCATTGAAAGAAGAAATTATTTTGGAGATGTGCCAAATCTACATATGAAAAAGAATTGAAAAGAAATTTGGATCATATGGAGAAGTTAGGTACTGGAATAATTGATAACTTATTATACTACAATATAGAAAGGTGGTCTAAATTATACTTTTAAGTTTTTTAGCTGTTATGATAGTGTTGACAACAACATGGTTGAAAGCTTTGATTCATGGATTTTGGGGGCAAGACACAAAACTATCATCATAATGCTTGAAGAAATAAGGGTCAAAGTGATGAGAAGAATAGAACAATTGAGGGAGTTTATTGATACTTGAATAACAGACATATCTCCAATGGCCTTAAAGGTATTAACAGAGAACACAACAAATTCGATGCAATGTAACCTTGAATGGAATAGTGAATATGGTTTTTGAGGTTAAAGACAGCTGGGATAACACATTTGTTGTGAATCTAGGCACACAAATATGTACTTGTAGATCTTGGATGCTAAGAGGAATACCTTGTTGTCATGCTATAGCTGCACTTCATTTTAGAAGATCGGAGCCCATTAACTATGTTGCACATTGGTATAGCAAGGAGACTTATTTCAAGGTTTATAGTCATTACATTCAACCAGTTACTAAACTGGAAATGTGGCCACAATTGACCAACCCTTCTGTATTACCACCTGTTATCAAAACACAACCAGGAGGGCCAAGAAAATGTAGTAGAAAGGAGCAGAATGAAAATAAAATAGAAAAATTGTCCAAGAGAGGTGTTGAGATGATCTGCACTCTCTGTCACACAAAGGTTCATAATAAGAAGAGTTGTCATTTGAATAATCAATCTATTGCATGCAGAGGAAAAAGAAATGGGAAAAGAACAAATACTAGTTCAACTAGGTCAAGTGTTGGATATTCTACAGCATCAACTGAATCACAATCAAGCACAAAGAGAGGAAGAGGTCGACCAAGAGGTTCTACAAAACAGGTAATGTTTATAGTAATTCATGTAGTTGTTATTTTACTGCTTTATCAGTCTAATATTTTTTTAATCAACTTATGTTATAGGCTAGTGCGAAGAGAAAGAGGTACTGAAACTGGTTTAGCTGGAACTGGAAGGGGAAGAGGAACTACAACTGCGTCTGTTAATGAAACAGGGATTGATGGCGCTGTTAATGGTTTTGGTCCTACTGGAAGGGGTAGAGGAACTGGAACTGGTATTGCTGGAAGGGGAAGAGGAACTGCAACTAGTGTAGCTCGAAGGGGAAGAGGAAGAGGAACTGGTGTAGCTGCTACTGCTATAGATGTTCCTAGTGCTACTGGAGGAGTGAAGAGGCAAAAAATGGTTGGAATGGGGATTCTACATACACAAAATGATTTTACAATCCACAATGTAAGTTGTCTTAAATATTTACACCTTTTTCAATTTTAACTTATGAAGAATCTAAGAAAGTGTTTATGTTGTGAATGTAGCCTAGAATGTCTATGAACACTTCAATAGTGACTGGAAATCTTGGGCATCATAAACCTAGATCAGGCTTAAAATGGAAAGAAAAGGATGTTGTAACTCAATAAGGTCTTCAAGAGATGAGAGAAAACAAAAAAAGGAGAACAAGGTCTAATGCAGATGATGTTTGATATGGAGACTGCTTTAGTTTGATATTTGAGCTGATTTTGACACAATTATGCAGTTGTGACTGCTTTAGATTTATATTTTTCTATTTTTAGAACAATTATGCAGTTGTGATTGCATTAGTTTGTTTAATGTTTGTTTTTGAAACAATTATGTAGCAACTGTGACTGCGTTAGTTTGATCTAGATTTGAAACAATTATGCAGCTGTGACTGCTGCATTAGTTTGTTATTTTAGTTGTCTCTTTTTGAAACAATTTTGCAACCAGTTTTCCATTACTTTAACGTATACAATTATGCAGTTGTGACTGCAATAATGTCAATGCGGTTGTAAATAAAACACAAACGAAATACATAAACCAACAAATTGCATTAACAGAAGAAGAAGAAGAACACACAATTCATTACAAAAAATTCTTGCACCTAATTGATTACAACATAAACAGTGCTACACTACTCCAACATTGATTTCAAATTACAACATAAACAGTGCTACACTACTCCAACATTTATCTCACTACATCAAGAGCTTAAGGTAACTTCATGGAACCTTTCTTCTTATATATCACCTAGAAATAATAGCTTATAGCTATTACCATAACACAACAACAAGCTACAACAAAAAAGAGCACATTCTACTATGTTCTTCTCCATCTATTTTGCACTACTTTCATCTTCTCAACCTCTTCTTCCAACATTTTTAGTTTCATTCCTAGACAATCATCATCTTGTTTGAAATCTCCCGGCTTGTCAACTTCTTCATTATCCTCAAAAACAACGGCTGAAGTTTGAGATGATTCTACTATATTCTCAAGCTCACCCAATTTTTGTATTAGTTTAGGAATTACAAATTTCGACCTGGAATCAATATTCTCTTTATCCTTCCAACACCAAAAGTTGCAAGATCTAGGAACCTTCAGTAATGAAAAAGGATGAAGGAATTAGTAATCAAATTCTAAACCGGCTAAAATAAAATAAACAAAAATGATGTTTACCCCATAATAAGGACATGACCAATATCTTCTTCGGAGTTATTGGAAGTCCAAGATGTTCTCAAACGCATCCACAAGTCCATGATTACAATAAACTTTTTTCTTCGTAGTATAATCAGCTTCTTCCATACAAAGATTTGTCAAATTAATTGATCGCATTGTGTGTGACAATTTTGTGCAAGAAGTAACAGGAATTTTAAAAAAAAACAGATAATAAGAAAAAGGAACGTAAATCAAAATAATTGATAAAGAAGAATAGATTTGAAGCTTACATTTTGAAGAACAATTATTCCTTCAAAGATTCAACTTTTTGGTTTGAAGAGCTAAGATTTGAATAAAATAAAGAAAAAAAAGCATGAACTAGGTCAGTATTTTTGGATGATTGGGTTGGTGAGGAGAAAAGGAAATTAGGGTTCTTCAAAAGAAAAGAACCCTAATGGGTCGGATATTACCGTTGGAGGATCGAATTTTATTTTTAAAAAATGCTAGAAGATGAATTACACGCCCTACAAAGTTGTATCAACACGTGGGAGGCTAAAGCTCGAAAGGTTAAAAATAATTCACATCAAACATGTTAAGGTGGATATATAAACACCCGTGTAGTTTAAGTACTGAAGCGAGTTTTCGTGCCAAGTTCAGGATTTTTTTATATGTATTTTCTCTTATAAAATTAAAAAGTTTCTAAAATAAGTTGAACCAATAATAGAATTTTAAAAGATAATGTAGAGATGAATCTATTTTTATTAAAAATTGATTGAGCCCAAGGTTATTTTTTATTGATAAAAATAATAAAACAAACACTTGAAAAAGTTTCAAGTCCCTAAAAATTAAAATAAAATAAAATCATTACAATAGTAACTAAATTAAAAATAAAACAAAAAAGTCAAAAGAGGAAAAGGAAGAGTCTCCAATAGAGCTCTTCCATTTTCTTTCACTATTAATGGCTTTGTCTTCTTCATTGTGTACATGGTGGATTTGCACTTTATCTGAGTAATACTCACTCCCTCACCATTCATTCCTTATCAATTTATTTTTCATTTGAGTGTTGCTATTTTTTCTCTTATTTGAATTTTAAATTTGTTTCAACCTATTTCAAGACTCGCGAATCTCCATTTTTCTACCTTTCTTCGTCCATTGACCGCTTCATCTTTCTTGTATGGTTCATGTAAGATTTCTCGTCTTCATAATTTGTTCTTGAGAATAAGTTATTTTTGGTGATGTTTTTTTTGTTTTTTGTTTTTTTATGTATTTGTGCTTAAAGTTGTTGATTTTTCCTTTACTAGGTTGGAATGTGATTGTTGAGTTCATGCCACCTTGTTCTATCTGTTTGTGTTTTTCTTGTGTTGGATCTGAAGTTAGGAACTAGAGTTTTGTCCATGTTGACTATACACTTTCCTTTACTTGTTAAATCTGTGAATTCCCTGAATTTTTATTTTCTTTTTAAATCTAATGCTAAATTGGCCATGTAATCTGCTAGTTTGCTACTTCCTTGTATATGTGATGTACTTATGTGTCACAGTGATTAATAAATTCCTTGATATCCTCAATTATTATGTGAATCTGCCAAGGCGTCTCCTATTCAGCCTCTAGGATTTTATACGGTAATAGAGAGTTTGTCTTTATTATGCATCTCGTGTGTCCCTCTGCGACACCATATGCTATCGCCTTCCTGATTGCAATTGTCTCTGCCTCTGTATTGATAGTGTTAGGTATTGTGTCTGATTGTGCAAAAATAAAGTCATATGTACTACTTCTGATACAAAAATCGTATGAGCTTCTTTTCGGGTTTCCCCTACTTGCACCATCAATATTGACTTGATTGTGGCGAAATAAGGTGGATGCCACTGGACCATCTTGTAGTGCATTATAGTTTTGAAGCTAGCTAGGACTTCCACTATATTTGACCATTGGGATGGTAGATTCCTCACCTTTGGAAACTAAAACTTTGTCAATTGTCATATATTAGTGTTTACCTTGTGTACTAATCAGTTGAAACTGATTGTTCCTCCATGCTTCAAGTTATTTCTTCTTTTTCATAATTCCCTTATAATGATACTGTGTGCTTGTCTTAGTTGTGTCGAGCCAGGCCATGTCCACCATTTAATTATGAGTTGTGATAATTGGAGTCCAGCATGATTGATACCTGCACACATTGAAAATTTCCTCCGCAACCTTTCAACAGTATAAGAGGTTAGGAGAACATGAGACATAGTATCTCTTTGAGGGTGTTGGCAGCAATGACATCTAGAAGGAAGACTAATTTTCATTCTTTGCACCACCTCATTAATAGGTATTATGAACTTCCATGCCCTTCATAGTGTGAAGGTCATCTGAAAGGGCAATTTGTTGATCCACATATTCTTGAATATCTCCTGTTTCTCATCCTTTTGTTTGATATATTGCCAAACATTTTTAACATAGAATTTACCATTTTGTTCCAACATTTAAATTGGTTTATCATGTTCGTCAACATTTTGGGCAGGATTAATAATTGTGGTTATATGTTGCACAATCTCTTTTAGTAGGTGTTGATTTAACAAATCTAACCTTCATTTCCTTCCTTGGTAAATTGTTTCATCTCAATTTCTTCATCTTCCAATACATCTGGTAGCCAATAATATAGAGCACCTAGTGATGTCCAATTCTCATACCAAAAATTAGAGTCTTCCGGACTTGACCATCCATAATATTTGATGTCCAATCAGTTCTCTAACTGTCACCATCTTCTTCCATGTTGTAGATGCTCCTTTTGTAGTAGCAATAATAGGGTGTAACTTTTTTCAATACTTGTTTGCCATGTGAAAACTCCACATTGATAGTTTAATTCTAAACTTCCAACATAGCTTACGAAACAAGACATTAGACATATCAAATAAGGATGTGAAACCAATACCACTGACATCCCTTGTAAGCATAAATCTTCCCATTTGACCCAGTGTCTTTTCCTATACTCTGTACTGTTATCCAAAAAAAATCTGTCAATGATTAATAATTCCTTTTGGTGGATTCAAAGTTGACATTAGGTGCAGTGGTATACTCTGTAGAACATGATTAATCAACACTACTTTTTCTCTAAGGGATAATTGTCTACCTTGCTAAGACTAATTCTATTAAAAAAAAAATTCACTATAACATTGTTATAGTGAGAAATTTTCTTTCTCCCGTAAAAAATAGGACATCCTAGGTACTAAAAAGAAAACATTCCTTACCTAATTCGTGATACATGTTTGATTCTATTCACAATAGCTGGGACAATCTTCTCATGCACATAGAAAATAAATTTGTGTAAGTTAATTAGTTGACCAAAGGCATTTTCATACCTTCTGAGGACTTTGATCATCATTTTCATTGATCTTTCGTCAACACTGGCAAATAAAATAATATCATCTGCATAAACTAGATAGTTTATAAAAGTACTCTACTTAGGCAATTCATAACATTTATACCCTTCTCTTCCATGTAGATCATTCAGGAATCTATTTATGAAGAATTAGATGCAATTTTATTTTTCAAATATTTCTGAAGATATTTCATGTTATAATCGACAATATTTAATTTAGCTTCAAACTTAATTAACTCATTAGTTTTGAGTTTACAAATATCCTCCTGCCAATCAATTTCTTTCATATGTTTTCATTTGGTCAAGTATAACTATTTAATTGCTCTTAACATTTTTTCTGATTTTGAACTTTGCAAATTAATATTCGATTTCATTCATCTTATTTCGAACATGTGTCACAACAAATTGTGTAGTGTCACTTCATTCTATATTGGATTCAAAAAACGGTGAGCAATTGCTTCAATAGTTGAATGAAAAAAGGAATAAGGTTTATTCGTCGGAGAAGAAAGAACTATTCCTTTGTCAACATCGTGTTGTTGAACGAGTTCACCAACCAATTTATATAAACTCAATCAGTGTTTCAAAAAGGAGGCATATCGAGTTACTTTGTTTATATTTTCTCATGAAATTTTTTTGACATCCGACAATATTCTTACCCTTCATTACTAGAATAAAATAAACTTTGTTAATAAACTCATTACATGAAATGATACTTATAAGAGATAGAATACCATATTTATACACATATATTCTTCCGTCAATATAGATTATTAAATCTCTTACCTTATTCTTCCTTATAGTGCATCTGCTATTCTATTACTAGCTAGGATTGGACATAATATGGTTAAAATTGAAAAACAGATTCAATCAATTTTTTTAATTTTGATTTTTCAATTTTTTCGATTGATTTCAATTTCAAAGTTTAATATTTCAATTTTTATATTCTTGAGTCTTTACACCTTATTAACTATCGGAAAAGGGTCAAAATTGCCCATAAATTATGCGAGATAGATCACTTATACCCCCATTACATATTGGGATAAAATATACTCCGTTGTTATCATGGGAAACCATAAATACCCTCAAGAGTTAACACCCCAATTTTTAAGTGACGTGACGATCCACATGGGACTAATTTCCTCTACCTAATTATTGTCATCTAAGATTCACTACAAAAGAACTTCACCTTTAGTGATGACAAAGTCGCCCCAAAATCTCAAAATATTGCCACTAAAGGTTATTAGTGATTTTTAGTGGCAACTAAGGATCCAACAACTATTCGCTAGTAAATTTATTTTTTCAACAAAAAATATGACAATTAATTTTCGATTGCAACCTAATTTTTAAAAATAAATAACTTGCAATATCAATATTAAAAACATCAAATATTATTACAAAAAATCATGAAAATTACTTCTCGATTCGCATCTCCTTATTATATAATGCATCATGTACATTTTATACGTGTAACATAAAAATAAAACATACAATGTCTTCAAACTCCTACTTAATTGATATCATTTTTATTTTTTAAAAAATATTGAAGAAAAAAACACAAAATTAGAATTTAATATTAAAAACTTTTAATGAAATTTTTTAGATTTTTATGGCGACTAATAGCGCTACTAAAAATCTAATTATTTCGAAATAAATATTAAAATTGACAACACTTAAATAGAAAGATTAGTCTTATATTGCTTGCACGTCACAAAAAAATTAGGTGTTAAGTAGGGGTAGCAGGGGGACTGGAATATCCCGTCCCGGCCCGCGTCCCGCCCCGATTTAAACCCGTCCCGTCCCCTAGGGTTTAGGGGTTTTAAAGGGTGGGGATGAGGGAACCGGTCAGGGGACGATTCACCCTTGTATCCCGGTTGAACTGGACGGTTCGCGGGATTCCCTCTGTTAACTTTAGGCCTATTCCAATAGTTCAGACTTCAAGGCAATTTTGCCCTTTTCGAATTAACTAATCACACTATTCAACCCATGCCTCAGACAGAAATGTAAACTAAAATACCAACGCCCCCACTCAACTCATCCCTCAAGTCTCTAACTGTCGTCAGTCACTCTCAGGCCAGCCGGCGTCCGCTGCTCGGTTCTCGCAGGCGTCGCAACCCACAGCCCTCAGCCGGCTACTCACTGCCCGCAGCCCGCTGCCTACTGCCTACTGCCCACTGCCGACGCTCGCTAGTCGCGCCTCGAAGGTACTAGTTTGTTTTCTTGTGAATATACTGTATTACTACTTTGTTTTAACCATTTGGTTCTTAAATTTTATTGACTCGATTAATTTGAATTCAAATTTAAATTCGTCAGCGGGATAACTCCAGTAGACTGCAGGGATACAATGTTTTCCACCTAAAAGTTATCAATATACTCAGATTCATAATCTTTATTTTGATGATAAATTAATAACGGAATCTAATAAACTTGTGGAAAACAACGAGTAGCACTTTAGGAGCTCACATTAGAGTTCTTTTATTCATTGAATGGAACTATGTGATTATTTGTGTGTTCTGTGAACTGTAAATGGTAATGTACTGTGTAATTCTGCAGTTAAGTTTTTTATAGGCAGCTCTGTTGACATTTGTGTTTAATGAGTATTCATGAAGTAGCGTTGAGTCATAGTGTTTATCATCCTTAGAATTAGTTTTGTTTGAATATTTTACTCAATGACATGGTAAGTTGCAAGTTGAATGCTCGTTGAAATTTGAAGGCAAAAGCCAAACCGAACAAATGTCCGTTCCTACTTGTGAACCTTTACGGGGATATTGTGACATAGCTAGGACTAGTGGTTAGGCAATTGTGCAAGTTCCAGTGGTTTGGGCTTGGGACTTCCATGTTGGAAGTCTCAGGTCCGAAACCCCTTGCCAGCGAAAGTGAGGGTTTGCCTTGTGAGTCGAGTCCTAGTGCGGGTTACCTTTCTTTTCTGGTTTGTGAGCAATTGCATACGAGCGGGGTTTTAAGGGTAATGGCTTTGGATTTTTCTTGCCAGGAAATGTTGGTTACGTCTCGTGTGTGGTTTGCCAAGTTCCTGGGAGAAAGCTTGTTCCCAGTTATCATGACGAAAATTATTTTCTCCCTGAGGTTTAACACCAGTTAGGTATGAAACTGCAGGGCAAGGATATGAGATGGTTTATTGGCTGAGCTTATCTAATTAATCCGTTTCATTATAAAAAGGGATTAGTTCTTGCAACAAGTTTTATGTTAAAGTTTGGTAACTAGTTCCATCGAGTTTAAAGCTATATAAATCCGTCAATGAAATTTAATAAAGGTTATTTGTCTTGATGTTCTTTTCTTTATGCAAGAAGATTCCAGCTATTTAAGACCTGAACTTTGTTAATGTGGTTGTGTTCTGGTGTATTATGATGCTTGTACTAAGAATCACATTGGATGGGGTCTCAGTTGAACTGGATTTCTCATTAACCTTGTTTTTTTGCATTACAAAACAAGATGGGGGGAGTATTTTTGGGTATGCCAGGAACGTGGGCAGGTAATATGCACGAAGCTGCTGACCATTATACAACAAAAATCGGTGGACTTCCTGTAAGAAAATTCTCCTGGATATGGTTTAGTTCATTGTGCTTTGGTGTTTTTTTTGGTATTATGATGCTACTTTTTTTTTCTTGAATAGGATTGGCCTATTCCTCTTCCTTCAGCAAGTGTTGATTTATTCAAATGCAGTGCTTGTAGAAGTGATTTGTCTCTTCTTGCACAGGTTTGTACTTGAAACTGTTTGACTAACTTTGAATTACCCGATTACTTGGAGTTTTAAGCCTCAAGACAGTTTGCTATATTTTTCTCCTTACATTTGTTTCCCTAGGTTTATGCCCCAATCTCACATAAGAGTTTGAACATTGAAGAGCGTGTAATCTATGTTTTTTGCTGTTTAATGCCAGAATGTGGGAGCTCTACTGTAAGGTCTTTATTTAGTTTTCAAGCATAGTCTTTGTTTTTTTGTTTTATTGGAAATTGCCAAATTCTAGGAATTTGCTATTTTTCTTATTATTTATTTTTTAATCTGTTTTTTTTAAGCCTTTTTATTAATGCTTTGAAACTTAATAATCGTTTGAATTTAACTTCTGTGGTCTATCTATTATATTTCTATGACAGCTGGAGAGCTCTTAGAATCCAAAAGTCTGTAAATGGTGAAGGTTTAAAGAGCCAGTCTGATAAGGCTGTCTCCTCGTCTGCATCTTCTGTATCAGATTCAAAGGAAGAATGCAAGAGGGATATATCGTCATCTGACTCTTTGGAAGAGGATGATGATGAAGATGATGATGACATAGACCTTGCTGAGTTGGGGAGAGCACTCTCTGAAGCTGCAAGCCTAGCTTCGCAATCCAAGAAACAAAACCATGGTCGTAAATTAACTGCCAAAACTTCATCCCCTGTCTGTGCAGACAGAGTAATTGATAAAAAGTTACCAGGTAATTTCCGTTCTATTTTCCTCGACATTACCTGCACCTTGACATGATCTTTTCCTCGAGCCCCTTTAGATGGTTCTACTTGATATGTAACTGGGCGGTATATATGAAGGGTTCCCATTTAGCTTTGCTTGATATAAGATGAGCGTGAAACTGTTCTTTGAATCCCCATGGAGACAAAAAAGCTAGGTGATTGTGAACTGTTTACTGGGACGATTGACCCCCCAACATAAATCTAGCACTATGATAGAGAACATTACATTGATAATGCTATTTATAGATAGAGAAAGCCAAATTGTTCTTGTTATTAGCAATGAAACCTTTTAGTTGATAAAAAAAAAATGGATACAGAAATGACATGTCTGATAAGGAATATGTGATCTGTTGGTTGCCTTCCTTTTGTGGGAGGCAGTTGGTGCTAATTCTTGCTGGTTGAGCGATACGTAGATCAGTCAAAGAGCTAGTGAATATATTTACTTATTGTAAAAAAAGTGAGAAAGTGAAATAAATAATCCGTCCTATTTGGAGATTGGTTTTAAAATGATCCTTTAGAAGTCATTCTAAAAAAATGATCCTTCAAATATACACCTGAGTGGTTTTAGTTCTTTATATTTATAAAATTGAGTACTTTTGACGAAATGGCTTGTGAAAGAGCATGAGTCGTTTAAATGAAAGAAAACCATCCAGCTGAACCCGTCGGTTTCATTTCCATATTCTTACCTTAAAAAAATCTTATTTGTATAGAGACCAGAAAAATCTTATTTGTACAGAGACCAAAAGTGCTCAGCTGCATATTAAAAGGACTACTTTAAACCAACCCCAAACATAAGAAACTAATTTGTCATTTTCTCTAAAGAAGTCATTGTGTTACGAGAAGTTGACAGGCTACAAAAGTTTAGGTCTTCATACCTTTTAGCAAGTGTTTAAAGTGATACATGGGATCTGCAATTATCACTGGGTAGCATTTAGCTTTCTGTATTCTCTGAAAGAAACACTTTTTTTCTTTGGTCACAGTGGTTCCTTGCTTCTATATATATGCTGAGGAAGAGAAACTTCCAAAAAAGGATGCTTCTGTCTGTTCAAAAAATATCTCATCTCCAATCAAGGACCATGAAAGTGATCCTGATACTAAAGAAGAAACATGGGAGGTGGAAGATTATGAGTACGATAGGGCATTGAATGCTGACAGGGTTTACCTTAAGTTCAAAAAGCGAGTAGATGCATATCCAGAACAGTGTTTCAGGTACAACTTCAAAAAGCCAGCCTTTTTTTACCATGCATAATCTGTACCTCTAAATTTACTTTTAAGTATTGCCTCCTGGAACTTAACATTTTATTTGGTGGAGTAGATGACTTTTGAGAAGCAAACTCTCAGTTTTTTATTTACCTTTTAATTCCCCAAAGCAGCAAGTGAAGTCCAAATTTAATGTTTTAATGGTTTCTTGATGTAGTGAACTTTCAGCATATTCTGCTTCGGTACAAGCTCTCTCTTTGATTATCTTATTCATCTCCATCTGTAGCATATTACTATTTGTACAACTTTATGCATGTTGAAGTGTTCTCATGTTTTTCTGCTGTGGCATGTGTGAATTTATAGATGCTTCTTAGAGTAGTTGTTGTGACCTTCTCTTTGTTCCCAACTCTTTGAATGCATCAACTCCTCGTCATATGTGAGAAAATGTTGACTGGTTGGTTTCTAATGAAAGGCATTTAAGTCTTTTCCGAGTGACCCTAAGGAGTTTCAGCTCCGTTCAAGAAACTTACAATTATGGACATTGATTCTTGATTGGTCTGGGTTTGGAACTTGGTTCAACTGATTCTGGTACGTCTTCCTTGCCAATCTACTGGTTTTGCTTCTTCTTACTTCAGTTTGGCTGAATCTGTCCTGCTGGGTTTCTCGACTGATCTTGAGATAACGTGTCTCATCACTGATGTCCTTTCTCCCCTTTTGTTTGCTTGGTTCTGGGCTTGAGCTTCAAACCATCTCAATATTGGGGTAAAATTTTGAGAGTCAATGACTCCACCTTTTCAAACTATATTCAGCTTGTTTCTCGTGACATCCGAGATACGTAAGGAACTGTACACAAAGTTCGGTCATACTAATCCAGTCAATCCATATTCTAGTAGAATCTCCTCAAACTACATATGAACTGATTTCTTGTGAAACTTGAGATATGTAGACAACGCAAAGTCCGGAGTCTGGCCATAGCCCATTTCTTCCAATCTAATCCAATCTACACGCCGAGATATAATTGGCTACTACGTCAACATCTTCGCCAGTCTTGACCTTGCTTCGATCAACACGTGAAAACTGCCATCAACTACTTATTTTATGAGTCTGAGTGTTAATTTATCTTTCATCATAAAGCACATCTTAATGCTAACAGTTGGCTGACATACTGGGAGATTGATTAGGATTACACACTGGAAACCACATCTTAGGTTGTACATTCAGTTTTCACCCACTCCCACAGAGCTCAAGGTTACTTTTATTTTTTTGTTTACTTTATTGCTTTCTTAGTCAACTGCTAACGCTAACTGTCATTTTATGGAGACTCTCATTATCCAAAAGAAGCTAAATAAAATAAAATATATACAGAGAGTTTCATATGGTTCTCTGTTGGTAGGTTTTAGGGTTATTTTTCCATTTCTATACACGCAAGATTTCTTTTATTTGACCTCCTTACATTAGTTAATCATCAACATTCTCTCTCCTTACTAAAAAAATCTATTATTTACTTTTACATGTAGATACTCATATGGTGGAAGGCCGCTTTTGGCTTCTGAAGATGCTGGTAATCCAGGGATGTGCAGGCTTTGTGGTGCAGCACGTCAATATGAAATGCAGCTGATGCCCCCATTGCTGTATTTTCTGCAGGAAGCCGTGAGCGAGAAAGAAAAACATGCCTTGGATAACTGGAATTGGATGACTTTAATAGTGTATACTTGCTCACAGGTCAGCCTTTAACTGGATATGGATTGTAGGGTGGAAAGATACTTTAGATCCGTATACTTTTCTAAGCTAAAATGGTCATCTTTTAGCTGATGCATCGTGAAAGGCGTGGGGGGGGGGGGGATGAACCTAGTGCATAGCTGAAACACTCTATGTATTAAAAATTGCATCTAAATCAGGTTTTAAAAAAGAGGTTCGAACCCAGTAATTCATATAAACTGGGGAAGAATCAGAAACTCAAAAGCGAGGCTCTTCTGTGTTACCTGCTGCTTACATCAGAAGAACCAAAAATAAACAAAAAAAATCCAAAGTTGTAAAATTAAAAGGTTAGGAAGTAAGAAGTTGATGAAGGAAAACTGTAATAGGTTATGACTTTTTACTTCAGCTTTTCACTTGTTGAAAATGCGCGTCTCCCGTGGGACAGTTCTGTGCGAGTTCGAATTAATCACTCTCCTCTTGTTCCTTTTTTTCTGAAGTGAAATTTTACTTGTGATCTCTTTCTTTCATTTGCTGGTTGAATTATTTATTCTCTTTTGTCAATTGTGGACGATACTACTCCCTTTTCAGGTTTAGTTAATTTCTTTGCCTGTTTCATTTTCAGAACTGTTCAAACGATAACACTAGCGATGATGGCTGGACTGTGGCTGAGGAAGTTGTTGTCGTACAGTATGAATAGCATCGATTAAGATATGCTCCTGTACTATCAATAGAGTTTAAAATATGCTCTTGTCATACTTTTTTTAGGATTATTGTTTGAAATGAGGGAAGTTCACTAGCCTGAGTTCAAAGCCAATATACTGAACTCTATGCTATTGTCTGTTATCCTTTTTAACATTTTAAGCTTGTTAAATCTATATCATGTATTTATTTCAATCTTCTTCACCTTCTTTTATTTCGTTTTTACCCATGTTGGGTCTACACAGGTGTACTTCTCTATGTATATGTAGTTTTAGAATATTATACTTAAAGCTCCGTGTCCATTTAAACTACATCACATAAATTGAGATAGAGAAACTATTGCAATAAATCGGAGATGAGACTTCTGGAAGGACTAAAAGTGTCATGTCTAGAGCCATTTATGATCTTAACAGTATACCAATTGTTAGAAATAGGCCCCAAGATCATGTCAATCCAAAGCTCAGAGAACCCATATATCTCATGACATGACACAAGTAGTTCCAAAATACTTGGTCAAAAGTTTTGATCAAATCAAGTTTGAAAAATAACATTACCATTCACATCAGGCATCTTTATATTATACAAGAGGCAAAGACTGGTCTTTATAATCAATTCTTTCCTCCAACATATACATCAACTCATGAGCAAATTACATCAAGGAAACTAAAATAATATACTTTGCATAGTAAAAAAGATGGTATTAAGTCCAAATAGTAGAAATGTAAAAACTAATTAAGTCCATCTCTTCTTGACTCTAGCTTTGAAACCATGTTGCATGTAAAGAATAATTGAGACATTAGGGCAAACTTTGTGTCCATTGATCACTTCAACTTGATAATTATGTATGATAGAAGCAGCCACAGCTTTCATTTGAGTGAAAGCCACTTCTTTCCCTAAACAAGTCCTTGGCCCTGCATTGAAAGCTAAGAACTTATACGAAGGCTCGTGCTTAATCAACCCTTTCTCCGATATCCATCTCTCTGGCTTAAATTCTAAACAATCTTTTCCCCATATCGATTCTATCCTTCCCATTGCGTACAATGAGAACACCACTCTCATTTTAGGATGAACATGGTGTCCACTTGGGAGAGTATCAGGTTCTAGAGGAGTCTTATGTTGAAATGGTACTGGTGGATATAGCCTTAATGATTCACACAATGATGCATGCAAGTAAATTGCATTTTTCAACTCGTTCTCGTTAAAAAGCTAGCCTCCATTTTGATGATGATGATGATGATGTCAAGGAGATAATTGCCTCAAGTTCTTCCATGATCTTATTTTCAACCTCAGGGTGAGTCGCGGCTAGCCAAATGAACCATGTTAGTCCTGAGCTAGTCGTGTCACGCCCTGCAATCATGAGGTTCAATATGGTGTCCCTCAAGAACTTGTCATCAAAATTTAGTCCATGATCATTTAATATGTATGAAGTTAAGAGATCATCACAACCCTCTTCTTCATCTTCCTTTGTTTTTGTTGCAACATTACTCAATTTATCGCGTTTCATCGATATATACTTGCTTATAACTTGATCAAGAACATCCCATGATCTAGTTAACTTACCTTCATACCCAATCCCTAGCCATTTTTGCAACTTCCAAACACTCTTTAGCAACAAATGTCTAATGAACAAATACTTCTTCTACCTCATCCATAGCTCTCGAAAAGGGAACACGAGGGAATTCAACTGAGAGACATCCAGGATCATACCCTGTAACCAATGTACATGTTGTATCACATGTAAATCTTTGAAAAACATCTTGCAAATCCACAACTCTATCATCTCTAACCACATTTTCCAAAACAGGAACAAGTGCATTTTCAATCTTGTCCCAACTAGATTTCACCAAACAATTATAAAACCTTTGATGAGTGATCAAACTCCTAGCATATTTCCTCTGCCCCTTCCATAAATCTAAACCAGAATTGAAAATGCCATCTCCCAATACATCAAATATCTTCTTAAACTCTTCCCCTTTAGGGAAATTCGCAAAGTTCGCGCTCATGATGTAGTGAACATTTTCAGGATCCACAGTGCCAAGAATGTCCATGTTAGTGAACCATGGACCTTCTAGCAAAAAACTTCCACCACTAGTTCTTGAAAAAATTTCATAACATCTTTCATGTATTCTATATACATTGAATAGTAAGTTTGGTAACATTCCAAGAAATGGCCAATTCCATGGTAAGCCACTTCTATCACCTAAAGCCAAAAATACAAAAAAGCTAAAAATTGCAACAAAAAACTCAAAGTAACCAATTGAGCCCATTTCTTGCTTAGTGTTAATTCTTTTTGGAAGGTTACTTCATGATTTATAGATGATTAATTACATATTGTAGTCTAATTGATACCTAACAATCTACCTTGACGTGTGTATTGAAATATAGTCAAAAAATATGCATCATGGTAGGGTCGTATAAAATATGAAAAATTTATAAGCATTTGATGTTTAGTCAAAGACATGCGTCTTTCATACACACGTTGTTATTTAATCATAGTACTTATTTTTTTATGAATCAAGCCACGATGGAGGGATCCAATTGATATACTCTCAAATTTATTAAACTATCGATTCTAACTATTTTGAGAATGGAAAAATGAGAGAAAAGAAGAAGAAGAAGACTGCTACAGAGAAACTACTCCTTCATCCTTTTACTGTGAACTAACTAATAACTAACTAATTGTTCAACTCTTATCAATACTTTTGGCATACTCCTCAATACCCCCCTTCAAGCTAGGAGATATGAAGATGTCCTTCATTCCGAGCTTGGAAACCAGATACTCATGTTGTACTCGACCAAGTCCTTTAGTTAACACATCAGCAGGCTGTTGAGTAGTGGCCAAATAATGAATGGAGATATGACCTCTTTGAACCTTTTCTCTAATAAAATGACAATCAATGTCAATATGCTTGGTCCTCCCATGGAAAACAGGGTTAGATGCAATCTGAATAGCAGCAGTGTTGTCACTATATATGGCAATAGGCAAGACAATAGGCATGTCTAATTCATGAAAAATACCAATTAACCATGTAACTTCAGCAACAGTAGAAGCCATGCTTCTGTATTCTACTTCAACAGAACTCCTTGAGACTGTAGATTGTTTCTTAGACTTCCAAGAAAGTAAGAGTCCCCAAATTTAACCATATAGCCAGTGATGGACCTCCTAGTATCAGGGCATGATCCCTAATCAGCATCACAAAATGCCTGTGAAGAATCAGAAGGCTGAGCAGATAAAAGAATGCCTAAGCCAGGTTGTTGCTTAATATACCTGACAACTCTAATAGCAGCATCCATATGGGATTGCTTAGGAGCATTCATGAATTGGCTTAAGTTTTGAACAGCATAGGACAAGTCAGGTCTAGTAATGGTTAAGTAGATCAATCTTCCAACCAATCTTTGATAGTCACCAATATCTGATAACACAGGATCAGATGTAATTCCTACATGCTTGTCAAAAACTACAGTAGTAAGCTTTCCATTCATTTCAACAGGTGTTGCAATAGGTTTAGATCCCCCTAAACCCTAATCCGAAATAATCTCCAGTGCATACTTTCTTTGATGCATGAGAATTCCTTCATTGTTTCTGGCAAATTCTATCCCTAGGAAATATCTTAGTGGTCCTAGATCTTTGATCTTGAAATTGTCCTTTAATACTTGCTTTGTGTCATTGATTAATGTTATGCTACTACCAGTAACTAACAAATCATCAACATAAATCAGAACAATCACAATACCTTCATTTGACTTCTTAATCAATAAGGAATAATCCAAATGACTTTGCTGAAATCCAGCAACCAATAGTGCCAGAGTCAATTTCACATTCCATTGTCGTGAAGCTTGCTTAAGTCCATACAATGACTTAAGCAACTTGCACACAGGTTGAACCTCAGCATGCATATAAGAGAAGCCTTGAGGCATTTGCATATATACTTCTTCTACTAAATCACCGTGCAAAAATGCATTATAAAAACATCCATCTGTTAGACATCCCATCCTTTAGTTGCAGCTAGAGTGAGCACTTTCCTTACTGTGACCATTTTAACAACTGGAGAAAATGTCTCCTAGTAATCTAAGCCTTCTTGCTGACTATAGCCCTTTGCTACAAGTCTGGCTTTGAACCTTTCAACTTCACCAGTTGCCTTCTACTTAATTTTGTACACCCATTTGCAACCTATGACCTTTTTTCCAACAGGTAAAGTTACTACCTCCCAAGTCTTATTGTGTTCCAATGCTTGTATTTCTTCCTCCATAGTTGTCACCCATCTCTTATCTTTGGCAGCTTGATGATAAAACTTGGGCTCAATGTCTGCTGAAAGATTAGCAATACAACATTGATAAGAACGAGACAAGCTACTGTAATCAATACTATTTCCCAGAGAGTACAAACAGTTAGACTTTGAGCTAGATTTGAATGCAGTGACAAAATCCTTTTGCCAAAGTGGAGGTCTAAAAGTTCTAGTTGATTGTCGTCTGTTGGAGCTCAAAATTGGTTCCTCTACAGTTGGTTGATCCTGTTGATGGTGATCCTCAAGATCAATGTCAAATGCATGTCCAACATTGTCAATAGGATCATCTATACAGTCAAGATCAACAGATCTAACTGGCAAAACTGAAGCTTCATTAGATAATACAATGTCTTGTATGTCATCAATACAATGAGTCTGAAAAGGAAATATAGATTCATTAAAAACCACAACTCTAGTGATAAAGAAAACTTTATTTTGTAGATCATAAAGTTTGTATGCCTTCTGTGTAGTACCATAACCCATAAGCACTGACTTGACGGCTCTAGGACCAAACTTATCAGTTCTCAACAATGTAGTTGCATTGACACAAACATCCAATAATCTTCATGTAAGACAAATCTGGTGGCTTTCCAAACAACATTTCAAAAGGAGACTTGTTAATTAATATAGTGGATGGAATTCTATTAATAATATGAACAATAGCTAAAACACATTCTCCCCAAAACTTGATTGGAATATGAACTTGAAATCGAATAGCTCTTGTTGTCTCCATTATATGTCTATGTTTTATTTCCACTACACCATTTTGTTGAGGTGTATGTGGACAAGAACTCTGATGAATTATACCTTGAGATTTAAACAACTCACTTACTTGAGCATTAAAAAACTCTCCATCATTATCTGATCTAAAAATTTTAACTTGAACATTGAATTGAGTCTTAACCATAGCAAGAAACTGCTTC